CCTAGTTCAAAGGAGAGTAAAGACCTAGATAGGCTTCCTGGCCCCATTCTGTCCTGTGATCTTATATTACCTATAAGTGGGGTGACCATATAGGACAACATGAAATCTGGGACACTGCCCCCCACTCCCCTCAAGTCAGCAGTGCTGGCTGCAGACAGAGGCAGGAGCAAGGTGGCATGGTGCAACTCTGGTATCTACACAACAGTGAATAACTTCAGAAGAGTAGTTAGTTTTCCTGGTACAATTTTGAGCCATTCCAGGCAGGTTTAAACCACAGATCTGTCTGCTTCAGATTTAAACTGCATTTAAAACAGTTTAAGTGCTGTGTGTGTCCATACTCTCTGGTTTCGGATCATTTCCCAGTTTCATTAACTGTGAGATTCACCCCCTTGAGAAACTCTCTGAAGACAGCAGAAACTACAGTGATATATGTAACATGATGCCAAGCATTTTCCAAGTCTGATGCCAATCAGCTCTGCTTTCTCATTGGAGAGTGAGACATATAATTTATAGAGATCATTTGCATATAGGTTTTGCTTGTAAAAATGAATCAATTATATGAAAGGGATATGATAGCTTCTGCACCGTTTCTATGTAAGTTACATTTCCTGGTAATAACTCTGTGCTTCATGTACACACCTGGCAAGGTACGTTTTCATGGCCTCTGGCAATGGGTAATTTCTGAAGAAGTGAGAGTTTGCCAAGAAAGGTTTAATATCAATTATTGTTGGCCCATGCCCATTCCCTGTGCCAACTGAAAATAACCATACACAAACTCACACTTTCTCCATTGTACAGTAAGCCAGTTAGAAAAGGAGGTGGTTTTAATAACAGCAAAATCAAAACACTATAATTGGAATCCAGCTATGCAGCCCCTAAAGCACTGTATAAAAGAAATCTGTCAGCTTGATAAGGGAAAACTAAATGGAGTCTGGATCTGGTAAAACCATGATTTGCTGCTTAAGACAGAGGAATGCAGATCCACTGGCTTAGGAGCAGACTGTACAGTCTACTGACAGCCAGACAGATTGGACATAAAAGGACCGGATGATGGGGACCTGTCTTTCGCTGATGTAGACAGCACATTCCACCCCAGGCACAATTGCTAGTTTGCAGCAAGGGGAATAACAATGTCTGATTTTCCTTTAATTTTGAACAGTCCCAGAGGCAGCCCCAGACATGCCTATCCCTGACAAGGAAATCTATGTGGGAGGCAGCAGTACAAGTTGTAGGAGGTCCATTTGCTAACTGTATGTCTGGAAGTGTAGAGAAGGAAAACATGATACCCTGAAAACATTTCCTGGCTAAGGAACAAGATGGTGGGTACAGTGGTCTTCAGTAGCAAACTGGGTACCTATTACCTCTGACTATATGCTGTCAGGGAAACCAGTTTAGTCAGCACATATGATTAATAGATTCGTAGAAGTTAGGGGCTGGAAGGCACCTCAGAGATCATCAGGTCCAGCCCCTTGCTCAAGGCAGGAAAGACTGCTGAGGTCAGTTGACCCCAGCAAGGTGTGCATCCAGTCGTCTTTTGAAGATACCCAGAGACGGTGATTGTACCACCTCTGGGGGGAGTCTATTCCAGACTCTGGGCACACAAACCATAAAGAAGTTTTTCCTAATGTCTAATCTGAAACCATCCTCTATTAGTTTATGACTATTATTCCTAGTCTTCCCATGGGGTGCCTTGGTGAACAGGTGTTCTAGCCTCTGATGTTGTTCATTGCTCATATACTTAAAGGCTGCCACCAAGTCCCCTCTGAGTTTATTCTTCTCCAGGCTGAACAGTCCCAAGTCTCTCAACCTCTCCTTGTATGGTCGGTTTCCAGACCTCTAATAATTCATGTGGCCCTCCTTTGGGCTCTTTCCAGCTTCTCCACATCCCTCTTGAGTTGCGGCACCCAGAACTGGACGCAGCACTCCAGCTGTGGCCTTACCAATGATGAGTAGAGCGGGAGGATGACATCCTTTGCCTTGCTTGTGATGCATCGGTTGATGCATGCCAGAGTGTTGTTCACTTTGCCAGCTATAGCATTGAACTGGTGGCTCATGTTCATTTTATGGTCGATCGTGACCAAGTCTCTTTCGGTTGTGATGCTGGCTAATGCAGCACGACTGAGCCTGTAATTAAGTTATGGGTTATTTTTCTACAGATGGAGCACTTTACATTTCTTGGTGTTAACCATCATCAGGTTTAGATCAGCCCACTTTACAAGCTTGTCCAGGTCAGCCTGTATCCTCAACCTGTCTTCCAGTGGAACTGCACTTCTCCATAATTTGGTGTCATCTGCAAACTTTGCCAGTACACTTTCCACACCTGTGTCCAAATCATTGATGAAAATGTTAAAAAGCACTGGTCCAAGTACTGAACCTTGATGGACACCACTGGTCACCTTTTGCTATGTTGACTTGGTCCATCTATTAACACTGTCTGTATCTGACGTTGGAGCCAGTTCCCTAGCCACTGGACCGTTAAGTTGTTGAGGCCACAACTTGCCAATTTTACCGTGAGTACATTGTGGGAGACCAAGTCAAAAGCCTTTTTGAAATCCAAGTATATGACATTGACCTCATCTCCAAGTATATGATGTTGACCTCTTGATGGCATACGTCTTCTTCATCCTGACATCAAAGTAGAATTATAATCGTACCCTGGAGACAAGCAGGCTTGTACCAGACTTCTACAATGCTTGGAGTCACTGGCAAAGCCCTGAACATCAAGCCATGTAGTGACCTCAGCCGCTACCTTGTAACTTTTCTAAGCAGGTCAGAATATACAGCTGGGGCCATATTTTTTGAAAGGGCTCAGCCCCAATTTGCATACCAAAAATGGGTGAAAGCAGCTCTGTATGTTTGTCACTGAGCTGCTTTGAACTTTGGGTCATAAATACCTTGTAACATCTGGTCATGGGAACCTCTGATTTTGGACATTTTTGAAAAATGTGACTGTATTTAATTGCCTAAATAGGATGTAAAGCTCATTTGCAAAATCTGCCTTGTAGTTCTTTAGAGATAATCGCTGGTGCAGTTAATTCATTTAAGATCAAATCTGTTTGGATTGCTGGGATAATGTGATATCTCAGTCCAGTCTGCGCCTTGGAAATAACAGAATCTGAACAAAACTCATCATCTCTTGGACTCTGTTTTAGATAGAATTCAAGAAGTAGGAGCAAGTACACAGTGCTATTGTGATTGCAGGTTATTGAGACTCAAAGCTGGGTCATTTCAAGGTCAATATTCTCTCTTAAAAACAAACACCCCACTCTCCCAGGAATTATTTTAGAAGGCAAAGAAGGAAACAATTTTGGAGCAAATCCAGTGAAAGATAAATACAAAGAAATTAAAATATGCTTTAAATTGGTACACAAAATAAATAGCTTGTTTTCAACTCATTGCCATTCAGTTAGGAATCACCCTGTAAGACAAAAGCATCAGACCAATTATTTGTTCATTCTGCTGTTGTGATGTTTGGTCTGCCTATTGCAATGTAATATAACGTGGTGTTGCAGCATCCTGAGACTGCATTTCATGAGCCTCATGAAACTTCAAAATGTTTATCAATCTTGAAAGCAATGTATATAAAGTATGGACTTCCTATGTGTAGGGACTTACATAACTCGTGACAAGAGGAAACAATTTTCATGGCTTGGTCATGGCCTGAAGAGCTGATTTCAAGGTCATTTCACTCTCCCTTCAGTGCTGATTGGTGGAGAGGCCCTGCGGGGAGGATGGATGAAGGAGCAGCCTTGGCTGCTGCCCTTTGTGCCTCCCCACCTGCCAGTGCCTTCCCCTCTTGGGTGGGCAGCGAGGCTGGGCTTCAGCGGCAGTAAGGACCACTAGCTCCCACTGGGGAGCCAGCATTTTATTTTTATCAAAGTTTTTTCTTTTAGGTTGATTTTCTGGGAGATCATAGCCAATGCCATTTTTTCATGGCAACTACAGAGATCGTCGTTTTTTGCAGGTTCCGCGAAAACTGCAAAATCATGATTTAAGTAGCGGCCTTCCTATGAGCATACTGTAGCAGACCTGGAGAACTCTAATCAAGCTGCAGCCTTCAGTTAATAAGCGTTGTTATATTTATATTAAAACAGTACACATATAGCCATTCATTGTACAGTGAACAGGAACACAAACAAAAAAAATGCTATTTTGACAGACAAAAGTTAGGAAATGCTTCCAAGGCTAAAGTTAGAGGGCCTGACCATAATCCCTTTGAAGTCTTTTTTCACTGACTCCAGTGCATTTTGGATCAGGATAAGGCTGGTGCTAAACTGAATCGGAACTGAGTAGTCCCAAAATGGGGGTAGTTTTTAGAAAACCATCCATGCTATTGTATGATGAACTCAACAATTTTTTTGTTACAGCTTATAGCACCGATTACATGCTATGCATGAAACCACCTAGCACCTATATTAAGATTTCTGATGGAAAAGCTCTAAGAACTTTAAAAAGGAAATGGTAATATTTATTTCATTTGTATGATTGAGCACAGGAGGTAACGTGTGCGCCCAAGGTCAAAGAAGAGGTCACTGGTAGTGACAGTCCCAGTTTTCCATTTACCACATGGAGGGGATGCTAAATTTAACAGAAAAAACTCCAAACTGAAAACAAAACACAATGAATTCTGTGGCTTTACGTGCCCACATAGAAAAGCTATGGTGTAATGGTAAGCTTATTACAGTCACGTTACCATCTTAAATTGAAAAACAGTGGAGCCAGATATATCCTCTGGGATGTCCACAGGAAATACACACCCAAGAACTGTATATTGGAATCATGCACGTACTAAAGAGCATTGATTTGACTGCAAATAAACAGCTTTTAAATAGAAAGAAATTTCTAGAAAGAAATTTAAAAGAAACAGATGGTGGAACTGGGAAGGACCTCCTTGGGTTATCCAGGCCAGCCCCTAGCAGCAAGACAACACTGTCCTCTGGACCAGTGGTTTTCAACCTTTTTATACCAGGACCCCTTTGTAAACATTGATGGCCTGTCCTGACCCAGTGTCCCTCACTCCTGACCCATTGCCCCCAGCCCCAGCCCCCCAGTGCGTGCCGCAGGGGGGCCCAAGCAGCCCCTCGAAGGCTGGAACTGTGACAGCCCAAAAGGGAAAGGCTCCATTTTTAAAGTTCGTTGATCCGTTTTTTTTAAAGTTTGTTTGCGACCCTTTCATATATGCTCGCAACCCATTTTTGGGTTGTGACCCATGGGTTGAGAAACACTGCTCTAGATTGATTTTTTTGGGGTGTGTTATATGGTCTTCACTTGGCCCCTTCTAGTATCAGAGCCTCTGTGGCAAATTATTTCATTTCACTGGCCTGTCAGCTTTCCTAATGTTTACTGGTTTCAGGACACAGTAGCCTAAGGACTGTTTATATTATGTACTGTTATATTATGGGGCTGCTGCCAGTAGCATAAGGTGGGGTAGGAGAGAGGGGCATGTGCTCTGGGCACTGCCTAAGGAAGAGGCACAGAAAGAGATGGGGGTGGGGGGTGCCTTACTCTAGATCCCCACCTAGCTTGCACTTCCTGACTGCACACTGCCATAGTGTGGACAGGATGTGTCAGAGATGGGGAGGCCATCATAGAGGACAGTCTGGTTGTCCTCTGTCTTCTACTGATATGAAACTGGATGCCTTTATGTCCTCTATTTTTCTCTTGAAGAGAAAATCACAAAGGCGTCGGGTTTTGTATCATTAGAGGACAGAGTAGCAGAAAACTGGAATGTCCTCTATGATGGCCATCCTAGTCATAAAGCACAAGGCTTTCTGGGGACTGTGGTTTTGTAGAGTGGCAAAAATTCACTGCTGCTGGGAGGAAAGAGAGGGAAGAGAATTGATCCTATTTTTTGCTACTGAAAAAATCAGCAATTTTGCCCATCCTCCCCGATGGGTTTCAACAGCAAAAAAAAAAAAAAAAAAGGTAAAAGCTCCAAGCAGTAGCAGTGATCCCCGCTGCTACTCAAGAACTAGAGTTCCCAGAATGCCTTGCAATCCATGACAAAGCCATATTTGCTCTTTGCCGCTGCTGCTGTGGGCTAACTTGTGGGGTAGGGTAAGAGAAAGAGAGAGAGAGAGATCTGCTCTGGGCACTTTATTTACGTGATATGCCTCTGGCTGCTGCTACCAGTTTTGCATGCCTCCACAGTGGAGATGTGGAATACAGCAGCAGATATGTGTGTGTTAGAAGCAGTCAATTTAGCTACTCCATCTCCTTGAATGAGAGTTTAGCCAGCAGAGAAGAACTCTATATTCAAAAGCAGGTGGGGGATGAAGCCGAAGTTGGTTGTTTATTCCCTGTTCTTTATTCCCAGTTCCTTATCCCTTATTCCTGGTTCCTTTTTCAAAGCTAATCTAGACCCCATATAAACTTGTTATTAATGAATTACACATCATAAAGAGAAATAATTTCATTAGCAATGTATATATAGTAATTAATATGTAAAATAATATCCCACATCAAGTACAGAGTCCTAAATGAAGGTCAGATTAGGATGGGATTCTGGGGCAAAATACTTCTTGTGCCATCCCAAACTTCCTGTCGATGCCACTGGAGGACTGTTCCAAAGAACCCTGACCACAGTCCTGCCCGGCCAAAGCATGGTTTGGCCATGCCAGGCTGCCAACAGACAGCCCCTGTGCCCACTGTACTAAGTATAATGTCTTGAATAAGGAACTGGCTTTTGGGCTCAGGTATCCAGGTTGTAGCCATATTGGGCTAAAGGAAAAGGCAATCAGGACTCATAGTAGAGATGATATCTTTTATTAGACCAATAAGAGTTTTGCAAAAAAATTTCTTTAATTGCAAACTTTTGGGCACAAACACCCTTCATCAGGCATCAGAGAAAAGATTGTAAAAGTTCTTCTAGGTAGAAATGAAAGTTCATATTTCATAGGATTTCACAGAGGAGTCAATAGATGGAAAACTCCTCTGAGCAGGCAGTTCATAGCTGGTATGGAGCCTCTCACCTTCTGTGAGGATCTGCGATGATGCAAATTACCTTGAAACAAAGGCAGGAGCAGGTGACCCTGGTGAGGTGACTGTCTAGTCTCCTCTTGAAAACCACTAGGGTAGGTGACTGCACCATCTCTGGAGGGAGTTTATTCCACAGTCTGGACACTGGACACTGTGAAGAAGTTCTTCCTGGTATTAAGCCTGATGCGGCCTTCCAGGAGTTTGTATCCTGGTCTTCCCCAGGGGTGCCCTAGTGAACAGCTGTTTACCAAGCTCCTGATGCACTCCTCTGGTATAGCAGTAAGCTGCTATCAAGTCCCCTCTCAACCTTCTCTCCTTTAGGCTACAGAAGCCCAGGTCCCTCAGCCTTTCCTTGTATGGCTTGCCTTGCAAGTCCCTGATCATATGGGTGGCTCTTCTCTGGACCCTCTCAAGTTTTTCCATGGCCTTATTGAAGTGTGACGCCCAGAACTGGGCACAGTACTACAACTGCAGTCTCACCAGTGCTGATTACAGCGGGAGTATCACTTAGTTTTACACGAGATGCATCAGTTGATGCATGCCAGCGTGCTGTTTCCCCTGCTGACCACCTCCTCACGCTGACGGCTCATATTCATACGATGGTCAATCATTACTCCCAGGTCCCTTTTGGCCATGGTGCAAGTCAAGCTGTCACCTCCAAGCCTGTATGTATGTTCAGGGTTGTTTGCCCCCAGATGGAGCACCTTACATTTGAAAGTGTTAAACTTCATCTGGTTCTGATCTGCTCAACTCTTGAGTCTGTCCAGGTCCGTCTGTATCCCACTTGACATGGGATATTATTTTACATATAGTACATATATATAGATAATGAAATTCTCTCTCTTTAGGATCTGTAATTTATTAATAATGATCTTAAACTTGGTTTAGATTGCCTTTGAAAAAGGAACTGGGAACTGGGAATAAGTAACCAACTTCAGCCTCGTGGTGGGGGGCATGGGGAGGAAGGAGGGATGAGGGTGCTGACATCATAATATTTCACATGTTCTACCTGATATAAACTACCTCAGTGGAAGCTGGAGGTGCAGATTAAGTCTAATTTGCTGAACAACTAATTCCCTTTTCCTTCCTTTTTTAATGTCAAGTAAATAATATTTACTCTTTAAGTGAGAAATAGGGGGCACATCTACACGAGACACTTTCTGTGCATTAACTTAATGACACAACACAGTAGCATGGTGGTTAAAAACCATGCTAATAGTCTACTGTGCAGTGTTATTAGCAGGGATAGGGGTTTTCTGTTTCTCATGGAAGAATGGAGAAAAAGATGGATTTTCCCTCTTTACAGGAGGAGGCGGGGTCAAGCAGGGGGCCCCATGTGCATGTGTATATACACATAGCCACCAGGTGGCCTGGAGAGCAGCTCCCGTAGGTAAGGGGAGGGGGGTAGGAATTGTGGCCTCCATAGGGAGGGAGGGAAGGAAGGAGTTGGGCAGGGCTGGGCTGTCGCCCAGCTGGGCAGCACGTGGGACTTAGGGCCCAGGGCCTGGTGATGGAATGCACAGTTGCAGGGCCCCAGCGGGAAGCAGGACGGGGATGTGGGTGGCTTGTCCAGGGTGTGGGGTGATGGGGCCCTCTTCCTGCAGCTGCATGCACTCCCAGGGGCGTTGGGCAGGGGCGGGTGTGGGCTGCCCACTGTGGGCTTGGGCTCTCCACCCTGCTGCTATCCTCTGGAGTCTCTGCAGCCCAGCGAGTGCGACCCTGGAGCTGCAAGGCACAGCAGGGCCATATAGGGAAGCTTGTTGCCACTGCGAGCTCTGTGCTGCCCCGATGAGCTCTCCCCTACTTGTGTGGCAGCTGTGAGGGGCACAACCCTGTGCCGCCATCTCCACTGCTATTGTGTGGGCAAGGGGTGCCTTGCCAGGGCAGTGTGGAGCTCACAGCAGCAATGAACTGCCCCATATGGCCCCACTGTGCCCTGCAATGCTGGGTCACACCCACTGGACTGCAGAGGCCCCAGTGGAGGGCAACAGGGAAGGGAGCCCAAGCCCACAGCGGGCAGCCCATGCCCACCCCTGTCCCACATACAGATCTGGAGAGTGTGTGCCCTGGCAGCTGAAGGGGGCAGGGCACTGTGGGTCGGGGCAAGGGGCACCAGCAGGCCTGGATGGGCTGTGGAGGAGGGCAATTGGCACCACTGGGGCAGGGGGCTGTGGGTGGGGAGTGAGGGACCTGGACCTGCATTCTGTGAGCTAAAAGGGGCAGGGGGAACTCTGATTTTCCATGATAAAAAACCCAAAATCAAATACCAAAATTTATAGGCATTTAAAATGTATTTTATTATAGTGGTTGAGGCACTGGTAGGCTTCCAAATTGCTTTAAAATTGTAAATATATCAAGAAAACATTGTGTTCAATTGATACTTATATATATATATAGCGGCCTTTCATTTTGATTATGGATTTGGGGGTTTTTAATCAGAGAATTTGTGAATTTTTATCAGGGAAAAACAGAATCCCAGATTTTTAGGCTAATGCACAGTAAGCATAACAAAATTGTTAGTGTTCTGCATTTTCAGTTTTTATTTAAAAAAAAAATTCTGGGAATTTTTCAGGGTTTATCTTTGAAACATAAAAAATGGGCTGAAATTGGGATAAAAGGAAGAAAAGAAAAGAAATGAAAAAAAGTTGATTTAAATCAGGGAAGATAACATGTTTCCACGGTGGTGAGGGAGGGACTGGAGTAAGGCTGGGACTAGTGAAAGGGCAGGGGGAGGGGTGCAGTGCAGCCTGTTGGGCGCTCCTGGGGCTGCAGCAGGGAGCAAAGTGGGGGGAGCTGTCAGTGGGTGCATAGCATGGGGTGGGGTGGAGGGGCACAGCTTTTGCTGCCATGTGCCCCCTGGGAGGGCTGTGGCTTGGGGAGTTGTGCCAGGCTCTTCCCGGGGTGGGGTAGTGCATGCTCCTGGATCTGCATGTAGGACAAGAGCAGGCTGCCACCCACCCCAAGCACTGGGAAGAGCCTGGTGCCCCATCTGCCCCAGCAGCCTGCTTTTGTCCCATACACAGATCCCCCAGGAAAAGCTGGCACAGCTCCCCAGCTTGTAGCCCTCCCAGGGGGTGCATAGCAGCAAGAGCCACACTCCCCACCCCATGCCCACTTACAGCTCCCTCTGCTTTGCTCCCTGCTGCAGCCCCAGGAGCTGTTGCCAGGCTGCGCCGTGCCTCTCCCCACTGCTGCAGGAGCCTGCTGCCAGGCTGCCCTGGTGCTTGGGGGAAGGGCAGAGTGGTGTGTGGCTGGACTTGGAAGGGGTGGGGGGACCCAACCCTGACCCCAGCACTGGCCCCTCCTGCCCCAGGGCAGGGCCGCAGCTGGAGCCACTGGATGCAGCTCGGACCTGCCTGCCCTGGGAGTGATTCCTGCAGCCCCTTGTGCCCCAGCTGGGGTCAGAGCTGGGAGCCCCGTGCCCCCAGGCAGCAGCTCCAGCCACACTCCCCTGGCCTCTGCATGTTCACCGTCACTCCCCTTGCCCCACGTGCGGCTGCTGCCACCACCCCCCATCATTTTTTTTTATTGATTTACACTGAAAAATGGGTGTAAAAAAAAAAAAATCAGTTAAAAACTGAATAATTTCAATTAAAAAAAAAGAGGTAATTTACTGGTGAAATTCAGTAAAAACTGAAGATGCGGAACATAAAAAATAGTGTACTGGTGCTACCACTTAGTAACTCTAGTTACTGTGCATTTAGTCAGTACTTTATTAAGTAAGTACTAAACTAAATGCGTGGTATCTAAGGCACATTAATGAACATATAGATGTGCCCAGTTAGTAGTTAATCAAGTTCTGAATGTAGCATAATTGCTAAGTACCATTAAGATGAAATATAGGTCTATTGAAGTTAATGAGAGTTTTGTTATTAACTGGAAGTTTCACCCTTAGTCTCAGATGAGAAGTTATTTTGTTCAGTAATGTTTCAAGGAAAGAGGCCATTCTTTAATCTGTATAATATTTATAACATAATGTCTTCTCTTCCTGATCCCACCTTCAGGACATGTTTAGTTTAATCAATTCCAGTTAAATTACTATATAAGAAAAAATATTTGGTTCTCTTGATCCATGTATATGAGCTCAAGCGAAAACAATGCAAATTGGCTGTGATCTCATTAACTGCTATTTGTACTGCTTAGTGGTTTAAACCCCAGTGATATGCTTGGCAAGTCAACTTCTAGCCCACCTGTCAGTAACAAGCTTAGCACCTCTTCTTTGAAAAGCCTCCAAAATGGAGAGAAAGAAGGTTCCCAAGAAGGCAGCCTAATGTATACTGGGACATGCTGAGGGAAAAACCACCGAATTCTCAGCAACTGTATTTCCAAACCATTTGAAATTTTCCAGAGGTAAAAAAAAAAAAAAAAAAAACATGCTTTCCCAACCCTAGGGATATGACTAGGTATTTCTATTGTCTACCTTTGGTCAGTCTGTAATAACTATTGAAAAGTACAAGAGTACGGATTCCATACACCTTCATTGCAATCACACTAAACAATGCAGGTAAGTGAGTGGGAGAAGAACCAATGTTAAGAAAACATGACTAGCTCCACAGAAGCAGCGTGAGGCTGCTCCAGGCTGGTCTCTGTGTACCTGCTTTTGAGCCCTTGGTCTTTGGTGTGCTTGACAGTGGCCATAGGGGATTAGCCCAGGGTGGCCTCACTGGCCAAATGGGTTTGAGGTATGTCAGTAGGCATTAGTGGAGAGAAGGTAGGTGGCAAGGGGACATGCTGGTCGGTTCTACCACTGACTTACTGTATGACCTTGATTAAGTCTCTCAACTTTTGTTTTCCTGTCCATGCTATAAGCTCTGAGGCAGAAGCTGCCTCTCTCCTGCTGTATTTATACAGCCTCTTGCATAGGCAGGCCCCCAATTGCAGGTATCATTAAGGCCTTGATCTTAGTGCACTTCTGCTGGCAAAACCTTGGGTGTGCTTGCATACAAAGTCTCTCTCACTCCACTTTGCCAGCAGAGTTCAACTGTATCTGCTGGGTGGAGTATGGCATCTGCCACTGTCCATGGTGGCTGAAGTTGGGCGTAATCACTCCCATGCCTCTAGCTGGCTGCTACAGTCCATTCAGTGGTTGGTGCCTTCCCGGAGTCCACTTCATGCTCTGGCAACACAGATACCGAGGGCAGCTGTGAGGAGCTTCCAGAAGCTCATCAGTACATACATGCTTCACCACAGGGAAGGAAAACAGAAAGGAGAGTAACAAGAGGTTACTTTGAGAAATGCGGGAGGCAAGGTTGATGCGAGACAATTTAAATCCTTCCTTCTTCTCTGGTAGCAACAGTGTTCATTGTTTCTTTGTCATTGTTTCCATAGATTACACAGTGCAGATGCCTGTACCTACTGCCTGGCTCCTTTAGGTTTTCCCCTGGTTTTATCAGTCTCCTGTGAATAATGCAGAATCACACAAAAGGTATGCAGTTTTTCAAGTACAGCTCAGACTGGGTAAAAGGGAATCATTTCTCTTTTCTTACATGTGACAAGAACATTGTACCCAGCAATTCAACTAGATGAAAAGTCAATTCCTATTATAAAAAAGTTACCACTGGAAACTACAAATGCTACAAGACTGATCATTCAGCCTGCCTAACCTCCCAAAAAAGACTAAGTTAGTAGATGACTTAATGATGCTTAGAAGTTACCAGATTAAGCCTTTGCCTTAACCTTGTATATAAGAAAATATATTTTGAAGAGTTAGTGTGCACTACTTCTTTCAAGCTACAGCTGTAGAAAGAGGGCTTGAGGTTGGGCTTAACTCTGCCTCTGGGCCTGTTTGGCTATAGAGGGTTGTTTTCTATTAGGATAGTCTTTGCTGCTCTTTAATTAGACCATAGCAGGGCGTTTCGTGGGGTTCTGGTGTGTTTTACATGTTCTGCTGTTGGTGATGTCTGTCTGTCTGGAAAGAGCCTTGAGTCTTTTCATAGTACATTCACCCGAGGAAAATGTTCCTTTGGATGGAGATCCAGATACCATTTTGCTTCTATAATTTCTTTAAGGATTAGGAGTTTGCTTCTTTGTTCATTCTTTACTTATAAGGTTTAGTAGGGGGAAGGTCCAGAAAGCAAATTCTATGCACTTTAGGCCCAAGGTTTGTCCTGTATACCAACTCAGATCTGAATAGGGACATGAAAGATTGTTGAAGGGTAGATTTGTAAGCAAAATAGGATACTGAAAGCAGGTGAGAATGTAATGGGGAAATAGTTGTATAGCCCTAGGAAACCAGAATTGCTCCCAAGGATAAGGATTTGAAAGTTGACTCTGCTTATTGTGTTAATACCTGTAGACCTTGCAATAATAAGCCAATATGGATTTAAGGAATGACTACAATCAGTTTCTTTCCCCCTAACCTTGGAACATCACCCCAGCTATGCATTACAATTAAACCTGTTCCAAAGAATAAAGGCAGATCTTGGAGACTGCTATTAATCAGGATAGTAGCTGCTGTCTCAAAAGGTAGAACAGCATTACAAGTGTAGCAATAAGTGTAGTTCAGTGTTCACCAACATAAAGGGGCCAGTTAGGGGAAGAAATAGAGTTGTGCTGAGAGCAGAGATCCACCTGCACAGAAGACTGAGATTTCAGAGCTTCTGATCTAATTTGGAACAAGACCTGACACTCAGAATTCTTCACAAAAAAAAATTCCCAGTTTTGTTTCATGTTGATCAACATTTGTCAAAATATAAGATGTCCTCCTTTTTACTTTATGTTGCAATGATTTAAGTGAAAAGAAAAGAAAAAAACCCCACCAAACCAAACATCCGGCCCGCGGGCTGCATTTTGCCCACCCCTGACCTAGGGTGACCATATGGGACAATGTGAAATCTGGGACACTATCCCCACCTCCCCAAGTTAGTGGCGCTGCTGCAGGTAGAGGCAGGGTGAGTGCAGGGCATAGTGGTACAGCTCTGGAACTACTATTAAGGCAGCTAAGGGAGTCAGTGGCTTATTAATGATCCAGTGTTCTTTACTTCACAGGTGTTAACAATCATTTCCCCTTTTTAATGGCCATACCACTAATCCAGCTAACCTATTTTAAGGGAACTTTGCTGTCTGTTGGGGCTCCCAGCTCATGCTGTTCCGCTTCTCTGCCCTGTGCCTGGGATGCTTGTTTTAATTTTCACTGGCTGTGAAGTACAGGACCCTCTAAGCCAAATCATGGTGTATGATCACCCTGTTAATATTAGGATGCATCCAGGTCAGCCTCCACAGTGCCCGCTAGTAGCCTCTTTTGTCTCAGTTTCCACCCAGGACAACTTCTTGTGGTTTCAGAGCTACAGTACCTTTACTGCAATGACTTGACCTTACAGCTGAGCTACAGAAGAAAGAACCTGCCCTTTCCACAATGTCTACATCCAAAACAAAGGAGCCTTCAATTCCCAGGTTCATTTCTCAGTCTGTATCAAACAGCACACCTAAAGGATTCTTCCCTGAAGCCCTCCCCCGCTCTCATTCTCAATAGGCTGGATCTGTATTCCTAGCCTATCTCCAGCCATCTACTAGGAATTTTATGCTTCCAAACATATCAAGGTCTTCTCCACTGAGGCTGGCAACTGTCTCAAGTTGCCTGATTCCCCCACTGATGAGGATCAACTGGGGAGGTGGTAGATAATTGACTCATCAGTCATCACAGGCAAGCATGAACCCAACTCCCTTAATTAGGTAAGTAAAAATTACTTGTCATACTGCCATAACTCTATTGCTACAGAGTGGCTGTGGGGCTTGAGATGTATGCATTTCAGATACTTTGGGTGTATCTGCCACATGTATGGAAAATTCCTCCCCAAACCTCACTGGTGGCCAGCTAATGCCTTTAGCATTACAGTGGAGAACTCCTGGCATTCTTTTCTTTTCACAGCATCTGAAGAAGTGAGCTTGGGCTCATAAAAGCTCATGCTACACACCTCTGATTTAGTTAATGTATAAGGTGCAAATCTGCCTTGCCTTCATCCTTTTCCTAGTCAGTGTAACCACATAGGATATTGCCATCCCTTCCATACTCCCCAAACAACCAGGTATGCACAGATGTGGGTTTTCCAGAAATTTCTGAACTGGGAATTTTTCTGAAAAATTTTCCAATGCCTTAAATGGAGCATGAGCTGACTCACATTTAGTAAACAAAACTAAAAAAGTACCCCATGTTAATTTTATGTCCCAATAGCCACGCGTATTTGAACTGAAATACTTGATTAGGAAAAAATTAAGTATAGCACACTTAATGTGGTTTAAATGCTATATTAAAACAAATTATGTGGAAAGAAATTATTTTATTGGGATACTTGTAAAAATGTAAAGACAATACACAATAGCATGAACTTCCCTTACATTGTCTGTTTAAATTTAAGAAAAAAACTGAAGGCACTGAAAACTGTTGACATACTAATTTTAGCACACCCAAAGAACTGTGCATGATATGCCATGGTTGAAGGTCCACTCATCTACTTCAACAGAGTTTAACTCTTTTCCACTGAGGTCATTGCAGCACCTCCAGTTTCACTGCCACTATCTGCAGAATCACTTGCACTACTTATTAGTTTAATTTCAGAACCAGGTAGAGGCAAATCTGATTCAGAACTACTTGAACCACATTCTCTTTTTCTAAAGGATGGCTTTACCAATGAGTCTATGGGCAAGGTCAACTTATGATCACACCGAATCTTCTGCACTAATTCTCCAGAAGGAAGAGATTCTGAAAAATAGAAACAAGCTTAGTGGTGCACTCATTTTTTAGTCTATTCCTCTTTTTTGTCTTGAATGAGCTGAAATCCTTCCAGTTCCATTCACAAGAAGCTGCTGTTGGTGGAGTGCTTAGGATGTTTAGAGGAATCGTGGACAACAGTCGGGTGTTACGGTATCCCTGCGTGAGAGGAGACATATTCTCTGCTGCCCTCCAAATGATGTCTTTGCTCCAAAGTTGTTCTTTTGCGTGGTACTCGGCAGTGTCTGTCATCACAGCTATTTCGTCAATGTTGGGAACATTCTTAGCTAATTTCATAATTGTATCGAGAGCAGTAGATAATTCATCTCCTAATAAATGTTGCCCTCTGTATTCAGGATCCAAAAGGTTTGCTGCTAGATGAACTGGATGAGAGCAAAACTCAGATCTCTTAGTAAACATTTGTTTTACTTCTTTTTTGGATAGAGGTGAAGAAGGCAAAAGCTCAATTAGATTTTCATTCAGTTGTTTGAATATCTCTGGAATATTTGAAAGGCTTGCTGTATCTCCTTCACGTTTCTGGACAGCCAGTGAAACTGGTAGTAGCAAATTGAATACTCCTTGATCTAGAACCCAGAACACATCATTATTGAGAATCTGCTTCTGAATGTTCACTGGGGTGCTGTGTCATCAACCGAAGCACACTGCAAACAGTTATTTGTGCACAGCAAACTATGTAAATACTTTGCAGCTGAGCCCCATCTAGTTTCTCCTGGCAATAAAAGGGCAATTTCCTTCCCCTGCTTCTCTTTCTGTAATTTCTTCAAAGTCTGATTAGCAATATGATGATTGTTCAATACCTTCACAATCGCTTTGCAGTTTGCCAATATTGTCTTCATGTAGTCACACTTACTATGTCCTTTGCCAGAAGATTCAACCCATGAGCAAGACAGCCAAATACTATTAAATGAGGATACTTTCCCTTTAATATTTGCCATGCACTTTTCATATTACTCGCATTATCAGTTACAAGGGCCTGTACCCTGGAGGGACCTGCACTTTCAATCTCTTAACTCAGTAATTTGGCTATGTATTCCCCTGTATGACAACAAGATTTGGTAGCAATTGCTTCCAGGAATGTTGGTTCAGGTGTTGCTAACATAATGTTCAATAAAGGATCTCCTTGTGTATCGGTCCATCCATCTGACATCAGAGTCAGTGATTCTGCTTGACCAATCCTTTGAATAACCATTGTTTGAACTCTGTCATACTCTCTATCTAAGAGAGAATGTGATAAGCGATAACATGACAGTAACTTATACGATGGGCAAATTAGTTTGTAATGTTCCTTCCAGTATTGACTTTCAGTTATGGAAAGAGGTGCATCACTTGCAAATATAGCTGGAGATAATGTCTCAACTGCTTTTTCTTGATCTTCTTTTGACATTTTGTCCACAAAACCTGATAAAAAGCTTGGCTGTCTTGAACAGCTACTTATGGTGGATCGCCTATCTGGTGACAGTGATCTTGAAAGAAAGGATCCTGCTTCTTCTTCCCCCAGATCTTGCAGCTCACCATTTTCATTTTCCATTTTTTGCAAATCTGCTATTTTACTTGACCTACCAAGTTCCTGCAACAAAAGGGGGAAACGATTTTTTATTTTAGCCTATTTTAGTCTGGCCTCATCCATCGGAAGGAAAAGGAGAAGTGGCAGGGAGCTTGCTTCCCCCCTTTCTGCCAGAAAGAACACTCTGCTGCTCAACTTGCCGCTCAGTTGTCCTGGGACTGCAGAGCCAAAGGGATGTATAGTCTGGTCTCTGCCATCAGCCAGAAGACTAAGCTTGCTCTGCTGGGTTGAAACAGTTAACTATTTGTCTATTATGTAATTTTAAAAAAAAATTATTGTTAAGGCTAAGCCAAGTTGGGTACTTAGCGCAAGCAGAAAAACAGGATACAAATATTTTAAATAAATAAACAATAATCCAGAGTTGCATGAACAGCTTTTAAAATTATAACATTTTAAAACAATACGGATGCTAGTCTACGCTGTGTGTTGTATGAAGGAGCGAGACAAAGCTCACAGCATGAAGGGCCAGCAGGGCTGCAGCTGGAGACCAGAAGGGAAGGAAAATACACCACTTCCGGAGCAGCATCTTGCTCAGGCTTGGAGGAGGGAGGCTGCCGAAGGTATTTCTGGCCCCAGAGAGGTGCAGAGCAGGGTCAGTTCCCTGCAGGCTGCAGAGAGAGAGGAGCAGCAGGCAAAGACTGCAGATCCTGCCTGAGAAATGCTGGGGGAGTGACCACATGGGGCTGGTGGTAATCTCCAGAGGGCAGCTACAGCTGAGGACCTGGAGCACAAGGCCTGGAATAATCTCTGGAGAGGAGTTTTTCAACACGGGATCTGGAGGAGGGCCTGAGGGAAAACTATAATCACAGGTAGAGCTTTCCTGCACATGGGGGAGACCCCAATGACACTGTGAACATTCATAGGGGTGCAGAGAAGGCCAGCACATTGCAAAGACTGGACTAAGGGATTTTGCCTTGATTAGGGCGATTGGGATTTTGAGTACCTGATCCTGGGTGAAAGGGACATAGACGGAGCCTGACAAGAAGGCTGAGAAACAGCAGAGGTTTTCTTTGGTTTTTGAGCACAGGCCAAAACCAGCCCTGGAAGGGTGTACCTAATAGAGACCCAAGGTCATCCTGGGGTAGAGGGCTAAAAATAAGACCACAACAGGCAGCACTGTGACCTGACTGCAGAAGAATTTGTGAACACCATCTGGAGAGGCTAGGCATGGGTAAAGGGGAGGTTTTGGAGCCCCACAGAAGAAATGGGGATCGAGACCAGGCAGGATCACCATGGGCAGTGCCTCCTGGGAATATACATCATCAAAGTCACGGCAGGAGAGAAAACTTAAGATCCACTTTCTGGCAGATCAGGTGATCCAGAGCCAAGGTCCACCCTGTTGCCACCTGTAAGCAGACGAGCTCAGGGCCGTGGTAGCAAGCCCTATAATACTTAACGCCGTCACATGTTGTTTAACATATTCATTCGTTTATTTACATAGGATTCCTGAAGTAGACTTTTCTCAGATGATGTTGTTCCACCACTTCGTTATATTAGCTTTCTGTATATAGCTTGTACTCTTTCAGGACAATTTCTACATGTTATTAAATGTTTCTTCATTCTTGTTGCATTGTTAGCATACTCCTGCCTGCAATATTTATATTTATCAACTTTCTTCCTTTCCTCAGTGGCTTGAACCTCACTATAATGATGCCACACAATAGTTTGTTTGTTTTTTTCTGATGAGGCATTATTATGACTACTTCAGACCAAAAGCACTAAAAAACTAGCAGGTCTTATGCAAACAGTTCCAACTTCCCCAACTCAAGAAAAGAAATGAGACACTGCTCTGTGCGTTTGCTGAACTGAAAGTGAAACAAAAATTAATCACAGTTTTAGTTTTGGTTTTGCTTTCACTTGCAGTCTGAGATGAAATAAGAATTTTAGCTTTGGTTTTGATTTGACCTAAACAGCCAGTTAGGTGAATTCATAATTTGATTTTTGGTTTGGATTATTATGTGAGTATATTTACCCTTCTGTTTACAAACCAATAAACCATATATGTACTATCTCACACAGTTTCTAGGGATAATCACCTGAAAACCATTAATTTCACCTTTGAAACTGCTAAGCTTGCCTAATATTGTATTGGCACCCATTCTTTGTTATTAATGAATTTTATGAAACAATGAATTTTTAGAAATGGAAAATTTCCCACAGAAAAATAAAGCACTGGAAAATTTTCCATGGAAATTTTTTCAGTCCCACATCTCTGCATGTATGTTCAAGAAATATGTCACACTTAGAAATTAAACAGCATCAAGTACATTACAATCTTCCTCTTATTGGAGTGGATATACTGTACTATACTATACTATACAGGAATAAGATAACATTCCTTTAAATTCCCTTGTTTGGAAAAAGAACAAGGGTAACGTTGGACCCTTACTAAACTAAGTGGGGTACCTGATAACTGACACTCAGGAAAAAGCCAGTCTCCTTAATGACTACTTTGTGTTGGTCTTCCATCAGCCTAGTGGGATCACCCGGCCTGAAAAGAGGCAGAACCACCAGAGAAAAGGTGAACCTGTGCCCATCATTACCATTGATCTTGTGAGGGAATACCTTAAGAGGCTGGACATCCACAAATCAACTGGCCTGGATGGAGTGTACCCAAGAGTGCTAAAGGAACTAGCTGAGGTGAGGATATTCAAGAACTGGTGGCACTTGGGCAAGATGTCTGATGATTGGAAGAGGGCCAACATGGTGCCTATCTTCAAGAAGGGGAGAAGAGAAGATCCAGGGAACTACAGGCCAGTTAGCTTGACCTCAATACATGGAAAGATCCCAGAAAAAATTATCAAGGAAATCATTGCCAATATCCTAACAGAAGGTAATGTTCTGAGAGAGAGCCAACATGGCTTCATGGCAGGTAGCTCTTGTCTGACCAACCTGATTTCCTTCTACGACCCGGTGACGCATCACCTGGACAAAGGAGAAGAATTGGATATCATATTCTTGGACTTCAAGAAAGCCTTTGACCTGGTGTCCCATGATGTCCTCATGGAAAAATTGGGGAATTGTGGCCTAGACAAGTTCACAGTCTGATGACTGGGGAACTGGCTCTGTGGAAAGACCCAGAGAGTTACAGTTGATGGAAATAAATCAACTTGGCACACTGTAACCAGTGGTGTCCCACAGAGCTCTATTCTCAGACCTTCAATGTATTTATAAATGATCTGGAGTCGGGTGTTATAAGTGGACTGGCTAAGTTTGCTGATGACACCAAACTATGGGGAAGTGCAGCCACCCTAGAGGATAGGCTGGCAATCCAGGCTGACCTCGACAGGCTTACAAGGTGGGAAGACCAAAACCTGATGGCTTTCAACGCTGAGAAATGCAAGGTGCTCCACCTTGGGAGAAAGAACCCACACCACACTTACAGGCTCAGCAGTGCTATGCTAGCTATCACTGCATCTGAAAGAGACTTGGGGGTCATGACTGACCACAAGATGCACATTAGCCACCAAAGCAATGCTGCAACCAGCAAAGCAAATAAAACTCTGGCCTGCATCTTCCAACGTAGGTGAGACCACAGCTGAAATACTGTGTCCAGTTCTGGGCTCTGCAATTCAGAAAGGATGTGGAGAAGCTCAAGAGAGTCCAGGGGAGAGCCACGTGAATAATTAGAGGACAAGAGAGAAGGCCTTATGAGGAGAGGCTGAGAGACATGGGGCTCTTCGGCCTGGAAAAGCATAGGCTCAGGGGTGACTTGTGACAGCATATAAGTATAGAAGGGGTGCGCACCAGGAACTGGGAGAACATCTGTTCACCACTGCACCCCATGGGAAGGCTAGGGCCAATGGTCACAAACTCCTGGAAGACCTTTTTAGGCTGGACATAAAGAAAAACTTCTTTACAGTCCGATGCTCCAGGGCCCGGGATAGATTTCCCTCAGAGGTGGTGCAGCCACCTACTCTGGATTCCTTTAAGAAACACTTGGATGCCTATCTTCCTGGGATCATTTGACCCTGCTGACTGCCTGCCCTTTGGGCAGGGGGCTGGACCCAATGATTTTGTGAGGTCCCTTCCAGCCCTAATGTCTATGAAATCTATGAAATATTTTGTGAACCCTCTTGTAGTACTCAATGTGTTCTATGTTTCAGAAACAAACCAGAACAGCAGTGTAAATATGCATGCATTACTTGCTGTGTATATTGACTAAATACAGTTTACGGCTTATAAGAGAAGGGCACAACATACATTGACTAAGGGATATAGTAATGAAGGGGTTATAGAATCACAGAATGATAGAAAATTAGAGTTGGAAGGGACCTCAGGAGGTCATCTAGTCCAACCCCCTGCTCAAAGCAGGACCATACCCAACTAAATCATTCCAGCCATTGGTTGATCATTCCAGCTTGTGGCTACTTTGGCTAGGAACAGGAAGGAAGCACGGCAGATTTACACCTTACCAACTAACAAAATAAGATATGTACAGCATGAGCTTTTGTTGAGCTAGGCCTTAAAAACATCCTAGGATGGAGATTCCACCCCTCTCTAGGTAACCATTCCAGTGCTTCACTACCCTCCTAGAGAGAAAGTTTTTCCTAATATCCAACTTCCCTTGCTTCAATTTGAAATTATTGCTCCTTGTTCTGTCATCTGCCACCAGTGAGAGAAGTCTAGCTCCATCCTCTTTGGAACCACCCTTCAGGTAGTTAAAGACTTATAAACCCAGCCTCAGTCGCCTCTTCTGCAGACTAAATAAACCCAGTTCCCTCAGCCTCTCCTCATAAGACATGTGCCCTAGACCACTAACCATTTTCGTTGCCCTCCACTGGACTCTCTACACCTTGTCCACATTCTTTCTGTAGTGCAGGGTCCAAAACTGGACACAGTATTCCAGATGTGGCCTCACCGGTGCAGAATAGAGGGGAATAATTACTTCCCTCAATCTGCTAGTAATGTTCGTACTAATGCATCTCAGTATACTGTTAGCCTTCTTGGCAAAAAGGGCACACTGTTGACTCATATTGTTCACTGTAACTTCCAGGTCCTTTTCTGCAGAGCTGCTGCTTATCCATTTGGTCCCAAGCCTATAGCAGTGGGTGGGATTCTTCCATCCTAAGTATAGGGCTTTGCACTTATCCTTGTTGAACCTCATGAGATTTCTTTTGGCCCAATCCCCCAATTTGTTGAGGTCTCTCCGAATCCTAGCCCTACCTTCCAGTGTATCTACTACTTCTCCAGATTGATGTAATCCATGAACTTGCTTAGGGTGCAGTACATCCCATCTTCCAGATTGTTAATGAAGATATTGAACAAAACTGGCCCAGGACCGACTCCTGGAGCATTCCACTTGATACAGCCTGCCAGCTAGATCTTAAGACCTTGATCCTACCTGCTGAGCCCGACAAACTAGCCAGCTTTCTATCCATCTTACAGTCCATTCATCCAACCCATACTTCCTCAGCTTGCTTGCAAGAACACTGTTGGAGACCATATCAAAAGCCTTGCTAAAGTCCAGGTATATCATGTCTTCTGTTTTCTCCACATCCACAGAGCCAGTCGTGTCGTCATAAAATGTATTACGATTATGCATTAAAGCAAACAGACCTGAGATAATCACAGCGCCCCCCTGGTCTATATTTTGTCCTATAAATGGAATGTAAAACAACAACTTCCTCTCTCTCAACCGCATGCCTTCACCTGGACATACTGTACACATCTGAACCATTGCCAAATTAGCCAGAGAACTATTCCACAGGAAACTAGTGTCTTCTGGAACCCTTTTGTTTATAGAAATGACCACTTTTATTTCCTTTTTAAAATTTTGTTTTGAAGTTGGCCTTTGAGAGACATCACAACATGCCATGGCTTTGATGGGGGATGTAGCTGGCTAATGACATTTACAGCCTTTTCCTGTGCTCTTATTCATATTATGTATTGCACTACTGCCTACAGGCGCCATCTGATACTGCAGTGGTATATACAAAAGAGAGAGACAGTCCCTGCTCTGGGGAAGTCCCTGTCTAAATTGACAAGATAAAAGGAGGGGGAAAATAAACAGGCATAGGGAGGAGAAGCAACTTTCCTAGGGTCACAAAAAAGGGAACAGAAACTGTCTCTTACCCCACAGTTCAGTGCTGGCTCCAATGGACCTCTCTTGATATACATTGCAATGCCCATGTTTCACATGCTGAGCCTTACCAGTGCTGTAGTCCTCATAAAAAACAAAGGCTTGTCCACATGAGAGGGCTGCTGCTGTCACTGCTAAGCTGAGGAGGCTAATGACAGAGCCCCCTTGTAGAGATGCAGCATATGGCAGCAGAAGAGGTTTTATCTCCAGCTGAGCTATGCCACCCCCCCAAAAAACCAGAAGGTTAGCTAAACATAGCTGTATCTAGATAGGGGTGTTTTTCTGGCATAACTGTATCAGCTACCCAACATAGCTATGCTAGGAAGCCTCGTATGACACTGTAGCAAGAACTGGGATCAAACCCCTGCTACGGACCTGCAGAGTCAGCCAAGCCAGCAGGGAACTCACCTGAGCGTGCCTAGGAGACTCATTTGGCCACCAGTGCACTGAGGAAAGGGCCTGGGGACAAAAGAAGGAACAGTCCTCTAGGGGTCCAGAACCAGATGTCAAAAGGAGCCTGCCATTATTAGCCCGGAAGATTGATAAGGCAGTTTAAGAGAGAGCCAGAAGAGGGACTGGTGTTCAGCTTTCCTTGAAGAGAAGAGAGTACAGCAAAGACAGGGAGCTGCCCAACATAGCAAAGGCAGGGATTTTGGGGGAACCCAAAGAAGGATTTGCACCATAAACCTGAGATAAGAAGAAAGAAGAGTGGGGATTCATTTATAAATCCCAAATGAATTATAGTAGAGATTAAGAAGAAAGAGGGATTGATTTATGAACTTTGAATGACTTGGTGGCTATAATTGAGAAACGTGCCTTAAATTAATTTATAAATTTTGAATGACTTATAGTTGTCATGAAGAAATGAGAAGGGGATTGATTTATGAATTC